CAGCAATTAAGGGGCCAAGCACTATTGGCCATAAGGTGGCGCTGCTCCAGACGTTTTTGAGTACTTTCAGGGCATGGGGTTGAAGATGCATACCATGTTTTGTAATGATATGTGAATATGTTGGTAAAATATAGCATTTTTGGCCAAAAATCGAAATGGGCGACGCCCAAAATGGCTGACCTGTGAAAATCAGACATCATTCGACTTGACATGCTCTGCCGGATGTAATGAGACCAGTTTTATGAGTTTCGGACGAAAGGTTGAGATGTTATAAGCCAAAAAGCAAGTTTTTTGTATCTCCGGACCACTAGGGGGCAGTGTGCCGAAACTCCGCAAATAACCTTAGACCCTAGTTGTCATAACACACACCAAGTTTGGTGTGAATCGGTGAATGCATTACAGAGATATCACCTCAAGTCCATTTTCGCAAGTTCTTCGTTAAATTAGTTCGCAAGTTAAACAAAAACGGTTGGTCTAATCAACTTGAATTCCATAACTTTTGGTTGGCATGGTCTGTAGATCATGTGATTCAATTTTGGTGAAAATCGGAGACACGGCCTAGGACGAGTTCGATCAAATAGGTTTTTCGAAAAATTTAAAATAGCGCGAAAAAATTCATGACGGAAAATGACGTCATAGGGTGGGTTTGAATCGGACTGAGCCAAGGAATCAGAGGAAAAAAGAATTTTGATTGTAGCCCATTCGGTTCAAAAGTTATGATGATAAACATACGTGAAAGTTTGGACAAGTGGTGGCGCTAGAGAGTTTGATTTTGAGACTTCATGTTTGGTCTGATTAATGTTAATACTGGCCTCTATCATTGTGCCAAATTATACAACTTTCCCGCATACGCCTATATGGGCTGCCATTCAAATCCGGCGGAAGAAACGGAAGAAGAAGAATAATAATAATAATAATAATAATAATAATAAATATAGCTGCAAGCAGCAATTAAGGGGCCAAGCACTATTGGCCATAAGGTGGCGCTGCTCCAGAAGTTTTAAAGGACTTTCAGGGCATGGGGTTGAAGATGCATACCATGTTTTGTAATCATATGTGAATGTGTTGGTAAAATATAGCATTTTTGGCCAAAAATCGAAATGGGCGACGCCCAAAATGGCTGACCTGTGAAAATCAGACATCATTCGATTCGGCATGCTCTGCCGGATGTAATGAGACCAGTTTCATGAGTTTCGGACGAAAGGTTGAGACGTTATAAGCCAAAAAGCAAGTTTTTTGTATCTCCGGACCAGTAGGGGGCAGTGCGCCGAAACTACGCAATTAACCTTAGACCCTAGTTGTCATAACACACACCAAGTTTGGTGTGAATCGGTGAATGCATTACAGAGATATCGCCTCAAGTCCCTTTTCGCAAGTTCTACGTTAAATTAGTTCGCAAGTTAAACGAAAACGGTTGGTCTAATCAACTTGAATTCCATAACTTTTGGTTGGCATGGTCTGTAGATCATGTGATTCAATTTTGGTGAAAATCAGAGACACGGCCTAGGACGAGTTCGATCAAATAGGTTTTTTGAAAAATTTAAAATAGCGCGAAAAAATTCATGACGGAAAATGACGTCATAGGGTGGGTTTGAATCGGACTGAGCCAAGGAATCGGAGGAAAAAAGAATTTTGATTGTAGCCCATTCGGTTCAAAAGTTATGATGATAAACATATGTGAAAGTTTGGACAAGTGGTGGCGCTAGAGAGTTTGATTTTGAGACTTCATAATTGGCCTGATTAATGGTAATACTGGCCTCTATCATTGTGCCAAATTATACAACTTTCCCGCATACGCCTATATGGGCTGCCATTCAAATCCGGCGGAAGAAACGGAAGAAGAAGAAGAAGAAGAAGAAGAAGAATAATAATAATAATAAATATAGCTGCAAGCAGCAATTAAGGGGCCAAGCACTATTGGCCATAAGGTGGCGCTGCTCCAGACGTTTTTGAGTACTTTCAGGGCATGGGGTTGAAGATGCATACCATGTTTTGTAATGATATGTGAATGTGTTGGTAAAATATAGCATTTTTGGCCAAAAATCGAAATGGGCGACGCCCAAAATGGCTGACCTGTGAAAATCAGACATCATTCGACTCGGCATGCTCTGCCGGATGTAATGAGACCAGTTTCATGAGTTTCGGACGAAAGGTTGAGACGTTATAAGCCAAAAAGCAAGTTTTTAGTATCTCCGGACCACTAGGGGGCAGTGCGCCGAAACTCCGCAATTAACCTTAGACCCTAGTTGTCATAACACACACCAAGTTTGGTGTGAATCGGTGAATGCGTTACAGAGATATCGCCTCAAGTTCATTTTCGCAAGTTCTACGTTAAATTAGTTCGCAAGTTAAATAAAAACGGTTGGTCTAATCAACTTGAATTCCATAACTTTTGGTTGGCATGGTCTGTAGATCATGTGATTCAATTTTGGTGAAAATCGGAGACACGGCCTAGGACGAGTTTGATCAAATAGGTTTTTCGAAAAATTTAAAATAGCGCGAAAAAATTCATGACGGAAAATGACGTCATAGGGTGGGTTTGAATCGGACTGAGCCAAGGAATCATAGGAAAAAAGATTTTTGATTGTAGCCCATTCGGTTCAAAAGTTATCATGATAAACATACGTGAAAGTTTGGACAAGTGGTGGCGCTAGAGAGTTTGATTTTGAGACTTCATAATTGGCCTGATTAATGTTAATACTGGCCTCTATCATTGTGCCAAATTATACAACTTTCCCGCATACGCCTATATGGGCTGCCATTCAAATCCGGCGGAAGAAACGGAAGAAGAAGAATAATAATAATAATAATAATAAGAACACTAACGAAAGCAATAGGTGCCTACGCACCTACGGTGCTTGGCCCCTAATAAGAACACTAACGAAAGCAATAGGTGCCTACGCACCTACGGTGCTTGGCCCCTAATAAATAGCTGCAAGCAGCAATTAAGGGGCCAAGCACTATTGGCCATAAGGTGGCGCTGTTCCAGACGTTTTTGAGTACTTTCAGGGCATGGGGTTGAAGATGCATACCATGTTTTGTAATGATATGTGAATGTGTTGGTAAAATATAGCATTTTTGGGCAAAAATCGAAATGGGCGACGCCCAAAATGGCTGACCTGTGAAAATCAGACATCATTCGACTCGGCATGCTCTGCCGGATGTAATGAGACCAGTTTCATGAGTTTCGGACGAAAGGTTGAGACGTTATAAGCCAAAAAGCAAGTTTTTAGTATCTCCGGACCACTAGGGGGCAGTGCGCCGAAACTCCGCAATTAACCTTAGACCCTAGTTGTCATAACACACACCAAGTTTGGTGTGAATCGGTGAATGCGTTACAGAGATATCGCCTCAAGTCCATTTTTGCAAGTTCTACGTTAAATTAGTTCGCAAGTTAAACAAAAACGGTTGGTGTAATCAACTTGAATTCCATAACTTTTGGTTGGCATGGTCTGTACATCATGTGATTCAATTTTGGTGAAAATCGGAGACACGGCCTAGGACGAGTTCGATCAAATAGGTTTTTCGAAAAATTTAAAATAGCGCGAAAAAATTCATGACGGAAAATGACGTCATAGGGTGCGTTTGAATCGGACTGAGCCAAGGAATCAGAGGAAAAAAGAATTTTTATTGTAGCCCATTCGGTTCAAAAGTTATGATGATAAACATAAGTGAAAGTTTGGACAAGTGGTGGCGCTAGAGAGTTTGATTTTGAGACTTCATAATTGGCCTGATTAATGTTAATACTGGCCTCTATCATTGTGCCAAATTATACAACTTTCCCGCATACGCCTATATGGGCTGCCATTCAAATCCGGCGGAAGAAACGGAAGAAGAAGAAGAAGAAGAAGAATAATAATAATAATAATAATAATAATAATAATAATAAGAACACTAACGAAAGCAATAGGTGCCTACGCACCTACGGTGCTTGGCCCCTAATAATAAGAACACTAACGAAAGCAATAGGTGCCTACGCACCTACGGTGCTTGGCCCCTAATAAGAACACTAACGAAAGCAATAGGTGCCTACGCACCTACGGTGCTTGGCCCCTAATAAGAAGAAGAAGAATAAGAATAAGAATAATAATAATGTTGTGAATTTGTTTATTTTCAAAATAATAATATTTTATATTTAAGAAAAAAAATATGCCTATGCTATTTCTTCAGCAGCCATTATTTCAGTTTTTAACACTCCTTCAGATTGAAAGGACTAAAAATGATCCAGTTACTTCCCTGTTGTTCCTGTATTACTGAAATTACAACCCACCATTCGTGCTGCTTTTCCTCAGAACGAAAGCATGCAGTAATCAGTAGCTCTTAAGCATTGTGCAATCCAACATTGATGATCGGGGGGGTCAACTTATTCGGTAGTAGTTTGGTAATACATGTGAATCAAAATTATTAATGTATTTAAATGGCATCAAATTTATTAATAAAATGTATATGTTTTCAGAGTTTTGACGGGATATTTAGTGACTACTTTAAAGGTTACTGCAAGTCAAACTATACATATGCGTCTAATTTTTCTTTTTTTAGGCTAAATGTAGATTTAAACACCTATATTACAAGAAACATGTTTTTTGAGATGCCTATCGGTGCTCTAAAACTGCCATTTTCAGACTACTGAATGATATTTTTCCAACCACTGATGCATTGAATGCATCACATGGTATGAACCGTTATGGGGGATTAAATTATGTTATACATATTTAATTATTAATCTTTAAGTAAGCTAATATTGTAGAAAGCTATTCCCAATAGAGAGCTGACCCCCATACATCTTGTTTTGATGTCCTTCAAGGGGATCAAGCAATAATTAGTGGGGTAAATCTCCCTCAAACCCCCCTGTTATTTGCACCCTGCTGTTAAGCTCTTAAAACATTTAAGCATTTTTAATTTGTGTCATGTGACAACTAACAAAACACACATTAAGTGTTGAACAGTGCATGATAAAAAGTAAAAGAAGGAAAGAAGGAAATAAAAGACACGTGACTCACTTGTTGCCTGTTGTTGGGTGTGTATGGCAGCATTGTAGAGACGTGAAACATCAGCTCAAAGTCTTTATAGGTGGTGTAGAGAGAGTGAGTACCGGTGGAGTCCGCTGTGGACAAAAACAGCAAATTAAAAGCACACTAATGACAAAAATACTAAATTAGTGTCTTGTAGTTCAACATTAATCTGCAAATGGCTCGCGGGGATTATGAGAAACGGTTCAATGTCCTGTATGCACTGACAGAGAACAAACGCGGTATTAACAAAACCCATTTCAGAAATGAACCCAAAGCTGCCAAGCAGATTTCTGGCCTGTCAAAGATTCACAGCAGTAAAAGTGGATCAAATGTTCAAATATTTTGGGGATATCATAGTAAAGAGTGACACACCAATCTTGATTTTTCATGGCTAATTACAATTTATGGGATTTTTTAATAAGCAAATTGACTGTTCCATATTTTACCAATTAAAATTGAAATTAAAAATAAAATTAAAAGTTAAGATAAAGTTAAAATTAAAGGTAAAAAATTAAAATGAAATATTACATAAAAATGTATTTAAATTAAAGTAAATAAAAGTAATTAAAAATAAAACAAAACAAATTAAATAATAAAATTAAATAATAAAATTAAATAATAAAATTATATATATATATATATATGTGTATATATATATATATATATATATATATATATATATATATATATATATATACATATATATATATATATATATACATATATATATATATATATATATATATACACATATATATATATATATACACACACACAACTAAATTAAATTAAAGTTAAAATGTAATAATAAAATAATTAAAATTAAAATTAAATATGTAATAAATACAATTGATATATAAAATCTATTTAATATAAAAATTAAATGTAAAAATGTATTAAAATAAAACTAAATTAAATGTTAAAAATGCATTAATTACATTAAATTTATGAATTAATAATTTATTACAATTAAAAGTGTATAATTTATATAATTTATTTAAAAAATAAATTAAATAATAAAATTAAATACAAAAAAAATTTAAATAAAACTTAATTCAAAGTTAAAATTTAATAACGAAAAAATTACAGTTTTTCTTAGTCGCTTTGATGCGTTTCTCACAACACTAGTGCATTTTTGCACAACAGTTAATGCATTTCTTAAAACAATTAGTACAAACTGCAAAACCTAGCTGATAACCTGCAAAAGCGTGTCACATGCTCAAAATGGATAGCTCATTCCTCAAAAGCGAGTATTCATGTCAATCAAAGTGTCAGTATCATCAAAATGAAAAGTCCTGACACCATTGTTTATGAACAAGATAGTCAAATGGCTTAGTCATGTTTTCATCATGACAGTTTACTCTGTACATTTTTTTCAATGCAAAAATTTTGGATTTTGGTGACACTTCCTGAAAATGCTCAAGACAGCACTATATACTGTTTGCACAGACATTTGAAAACTACAATAAAGTTAGACATAACTGCTTACTGAGGTATCTGAGTACAAGACACTGAATATATATTTTTACTGCAGACGCTCTTTGCAATTCTAATTTATTCCCAGCATTGTGCAAAAGAATAAACACACCCTTATTTACAACAAACATAAACTTCCTTTAGGTAGAGCTGTGCACAACTGTAAACAATATTGCAGTACATATTGGAACTGAACCTACAACATACACAGGTTTGTAAATCATCCATCATTCAATCATTCAAATTGTTCAATTTTAAAGACATTTTTAAGAAAATAAAGATTTAAATTTGTTTTATAAAATTTGCTTGACAGATTTTGACAACTAGTTCAACATTTACTCAAGTAATGAAATAAGCACTATTAGTTTTATATGGAGTGACTATTCAGAATTCACAAGTTCAGTTAATTTTGACTGACATGACATAAGCGAATAATAATGTTATAAAACAGCAGAGAGTTGTATGAAAGCAATTGATGCATGTCCAAAAGCATTTGCAATTTGTTGGCAAGAATGAGAAACTGCTACTATGATGTGCACAAATGACTAATTGTTTTGAGAAATGCATTAACTGTTGTGCAAATGTAAATAGTGTTGTGAGAAATGCACCAAAGCAACTGAGAAAAACTGTAATATAATAAATAAAGAAAATATATATAAATAAATAAATAAATAATCAACCAACCAATCAAAAACAGAAAGATAGACAGAAATATATTGAATTTCATTAAAAAAATATTAGACTGTATCATTTTAACCTATAAAGTCATAATATTGGGATTTGATCAGATTTGTAAAATTATGCTACATAATAACATGCATGTACAGGCTGAATAAAAATGCAGATTCACTCTATGTTTATAGTACAACAATTTATAGAACTGGTCTTTTTATAGAACAACAAGATAAATACAATTTATCTATAAAATACAATCAAAAATTTTTCAAAGATAAACCTTCGCTTTCTCCCTTTGACTGGCACCATAACTGTTTGGATGACCTTTTGTCCATTAGTTTTTATTAAATAATTTAATCAAAGATATTGATCGCTTTTTTTCCTCAGAGGAGAAGATCAAGAGTTATAGCTTCAGTATTTAAGAATTCTTAAAGTATTTTTAGCATCAGGACCTTTGAGCTTTTGCCAGTAAGGTTTTCAAAGACGACCTTAATCCACCCATAAGATGAAATAAACAGATGCACAAGCATATCAAATGAAGCCCGGATGTTTTCTAGCTTTACTTAATAATAAAAAAATTATTATTATTATTATATATTACATAACATACAGTTTAAGTCAGAATTATCAGCCCTCCCGTATTATTAGCCCCCTTTATGTTTTTCCCCGATTTCTGTTTAATGGATAGACACATTTCTAAACATAATAGTTTTAATAATCAATTTCTAGTAACCAATTTCTTATAATTCTATTATCTTTGCCATGATGATAGTACATCATATTTTAGTATAGTGAATTTGTTTATTTTAAAATAATAACACATATTTAAGAAAAAAAATGCCTATGCTATTTCAAAGCTGGCAAAGATCTTCAGTAGCAGTAACCAGTAGCTCTTAAGCATTGTGAAAATTATACCTCGACAATTGGGGTGGGTCAACTTAGATAAAAAAAATAATCATTTTGACTTCAACAGTATATCCTGCTCACTTTTCCCAACTCTAAAATATATAAACCGCCAAGGAATCACCTAATAATGAGTGCTGTCCAGGCCATACAGTCATTTATTTACAGCTGAAACATCACAAAATCGCAAAAGTATGAAGGAACAATATTTGACTAAGTGAAAGAAATGGATAATACAATTTTTAAATTCTGTCATTATTTACTCTTCTTTAACTTGTTCCTAACCAGAGTTTCTTCTGTTGAACACAAAAGAAGATATCACAGTATTTCCTATAGTATATTTTCTTCTGGAGAAAGTCTGTTTTATTTCTAAATAATTGGTAGAGCTACGCATCGATGAATTTGCTCTTCAGTGTTTGAACTCTCAGTAATGATTAAATCACACTGAACTGAGCTAAACTGAACTGAACTGAACTTAAACATTAAAAAACTGAACTACACTGTTCCAGTTACTATGACCATTTATGTGAAGGTGCTTTGACACAATCTACATTGTAAAAGCGCTATACAAATAAAGCTGAATTGAATTGAATTGAATTGAATTTCGGCAAGAATAAAAGCTGTTTTAAAATTGTCAAAACCATTTTATGGTCAACATTATTAGCCCCCTTAAGCAATATTTTTTTAGATAGTCTACAGAACAAACCACAGTTATACATTGACTTGCCTAATTAACCTATAAGCCTTTAAAAGTCACTTTAAAGCTGTATAGAAGTGTCTTGAAAAATATCTAGTCAAGTTTTTGTGTCATCCTGACAAAGATAAAAAAAAAAAATCAGTTATTAGAAATTAGTAAAACTATTATGTTTAGAAATGGGTTAAAATTCAGGAGGGTTAATAATTCTGACAACAGTAGGTAGTCATTCATATATAATATATAAAAATCATTCCAATGCACATTGTAAGCAAGTCCAAAACAGAGATTGGCCCCCAAAAAACACTTCGCTCTGTTCGAGCTGATGTCTAACAGAAGCAAAGCACTTACTTTTGTTGTCGAGCTGTGCCCTGTACTTGCTGAAGCCCTTCAGTCGAACTCTCTGACCCAGCAGATCCAGAAACTCGTCCAGTGCGGGACTGCCGCTCTCATTATTGTACATCTCCTCCTCTGTGCTTTGCCCAGCCTGGCAGTACAGGATGCCCACTTTGTGCTGGTAACTCAGCTGCAAATGATAAAGAGTAAAAACACAATCATTGTAATCATTTTTGACATCATTCATAGTGTACCGCAGAGCCGCAATTATATGAATTACACAGCTCGCTAAAATACTGGCCAATCGCTGCATTCTGTGGTCAGCTGTTTTATGACCATAATAGTTTTCACTGTGGTCAGTCTGTGCACTCTATTATTCAAATAACATTAATATTAAGATGTTATTAAATCATTTATCTTCAATCTGTGTGTATTACCTACTTAATGTGTAGTCCTATACCAGGGGTCGGCAACCCGCGGCTCTAGAGCTGCATGCGGCTCTTTAGCGCTGCCCCAGTGGCTCCCTGGAGCTTTTTCAAAAAATGTTTGAAAATGAAAAAAGATGGGGGAGGTAAATATATTTTTGTTTTAATATGGTTTCTATAGGAGGACAAACAATCTTAACGTTTTCCAATGCTGTAAAAGTGTGTAGAATATTTATTTTCAACATTTCTGTCAACGAAGATTTGCGTCATAGCCTGCGACACACGGAATAGGCAGGTGGCTGTTGTAAACTATCCGGCGGCTGTGTGATGCGCCATGGAGCGTAAGCTGTCTTTGCCAAAGATGTACAGCGGGGCACGCTCTCTCATTTTCCCTCCCTGAGAGAATTCAAAGAAGCCCATCCCGATCACTCACTCAACGGTGATTATTTACAAGGTGCGATCGTTGATATGCAAACTGCATTTGGGAGCAGATTTTGCGAGTGGCGAAAGGAAAAAACGAGACTGTCTTGTCACACACCCCTGGAGATTGACCCTTCCTTGTTGAGCACATTCCCAGTAAGGGGCGTTATGCACGTTCATTTTGATGTTGTTTTTTGGAATCCTCAAAATAAAAAACATCAAAAATCTGATTTCTTTACTGCATTTCTTTAATTTCATCAAAGCAAAACATGATGCATTAATATTGTAATGAAGTTAAACTTGAACATTAAACATAATTCATTGATATTGTAATGAAGTTAAACTTTAACATTAAACATAATTCATTGATATTGTAATGAAGTTAAACTTTAACATTAAACATAATTCATTAATATGAATTTGAGACTTGAGACGGCATCGTACAACAGAGTAGTCACGTGGTGCGTCATTCTCTACAGGATGCACTACAGGGAAAAAAAACATTTAATCATGAAGGCTCAGTATGTATTTGTAGCCAACTAAATCATTTTTATAGTAGGCTAATATAGCTAATATAAATACATACAGCATGTGTTGCCTTCATTAGGCTTATATAAGGCTTTTAATTTTTTGCGGCTCCAGACATATTTGTTTTTGTTTTTTTTGGTCCAGTATGGCTCTTTCAACATTTTGGGTTGCCGACCCCTGTCCTATACTATATTTACATATTATTCAATTCAATTCAAGTTTATTTGTACAGCGCTCTTTACAATCATTATTGTTTTAAATCAGCTTTACAAAAGGTGAGCTATTGGAATCAAATTAAATTAAAGTTACAATCAAATATACAGTTGTATCAGAATTATTAGCCCTCGTTTATTTTTTCTCTCTCCCAATTTCTGTTTAACGGAGAGAAGATTTTAACCCATTTCTAAACATAACAGTTTTAATAACTCATTTCTAATGACTGATATTTTATCTTTGCCATGATGGCAGTAAATAATATTTGACTAGATATTTTTCAAGACACTTCTATATAACATAAGTGACATTTAAAGGCTTACATGTAACTAGGTTAATTAGGCAGGTTGGGGTAATTAGGCAAGTTATTGTATATAATGTTGTCCGATGTTGGCAAGAGGCTTTTCCCTTTAAGACACCACCAACTACGTCATTAACGCACCCCTTCAAGAGCAAGCTCCTGATTGGTTAATGCGGCGCAAATGTCTGCTAAAGTTCAGATTTTCCAACTCAAGCAATTCATGCGTCAACTGTACAAAACGCTCAGCTCGTGCCACTTCATTCGTGTGAATTGCTTCATTTGCGTGATTCATTCACGGGAATCAAGCAGCAGGATCTCTAGTTGCCTTTTTGTACTGAATTAACATGTAAATCATTCGTACGTGATGCTTCATCCAAGTCTGGTGTGAACGCAGCATTACAGTTGTACAATTTTGAAATAAATTAGTGTTTACAAATATTTTATTTCAGCTTAATAATAGTATTTTCGATTCAGTTTCAATTCAGTTGCAATTCAGTTGCAAATAACCACTTTTGTTAACATGCCAGGATTTAATATGGCAAAATAAATAAAAAAATAACAATAAAAAATTGTTAAAAAAAAAACTGTTAAAAATGTTATATATTTATCCACTCTTCGACACATGATGTACAGGAAACCATCAAAAGCTCAATTTAAGCACATTATACAGCGATATACATCAAGTGGTGATCTAGCCATGTTAAGTGCTATCAATCTGTGCAAAAGCCTGACATAATGACATTCACAACGGCCTCAGTTGCCGCTTTTGCATTATGCATGAGACACAAAAGCCTGCAAGAAACTAAAGAACGAAGCTATAGAACCAGACGATGGGCATTAGACAAGCAAGAATAGTAAAACCCAAGCATTTGTTAGGCCAAATAATGGAAAGATCATTTTAAGTATGTTACAAATATAATACTTAACATCCATAATAATAGGAAACGCTGCACAGATAACAATCTGGTTTCCAATGACACAAGAATTTTTAAGAGGTCTATAGTAATTGTACAAAATTGCAGGCAATTCCCACCCATACCAGTATTTAAAAAGCAATTTTAGCACTATTCTTACAATCGCTTTGGCTTTTGTGTCATAAAATGCCACCAACAGTCTCGAGGTACAAAAAAAAGAGACGCTATTATCAGAGAGGGGGTCGAATTTGGAGAGAGTATGGAGGCGCGATAAAAAAAAAATGAACAAAGACGGGGACTCGAGAAAGCATAAGACGAGCGATGATTTTCTTTCATTTTCACCCTAAGTGTTGCTGGTCACAGTTGGTAGCGTCTCAGACGGGTCAAGTGGCCGTTATATGTAGCTAGGTGGTTGCCATGGTGAGGCTTTTCTGCGGTTTTGTTGAATAATTTGCCTTGAAAACTAGTTCTCTTTTGTGTGAATGCTGAAAGTGCAGACAATGGCTGAATCATCATTTTATTCACAGAGCTAGACTGATTTTGAGTTCACAAACTACCATTTCAAGTAAATATTAACATTCATTTTACAACTAACCTCATTCGGAAGTTGAATATAATAAAAAACTAAGGGAGTATACTAACACTTTGTCCCAGTTAAATGATTACATCAATTTTGAAGGTGTTTTTTTTTAAATGCTGCATTTATAGTCAAGCGATTAATCATGATTAATCACATAAACTAAAAGCTTGTATTTACTATATGTCAATATACACATATATACATATAAACACACATACATATATATATATATATATATATATATATATATATATATATATATATATATATATATATATATATATATATATATATATATATATACATACACACACACACACACACACACACACACACACACACACACACACACACACACACACACACACACACACCATATATACTTTTATACACATATACATATATACACATATACATATATACACATATACACATACATATATACACACACACACACACACACACACACACACACACACACACACACACACACACACACACACACACACACACATATTTATATATATGTGTGTATGTGTGTATGTATGTGTGTATGTATATATATATATATATATATATATATATATATAGTTCAATTGTAATGCTGCTATCTTTATATTTTTATTATTTTATTAAACATCTGACTTTTTATATCACTACAGTAGTAGCTTTATTTATAACTTAATTTATTAATTATTTTGTTTATTTCAGTATTCAGTATTTATTTTTAATTTCTTTTCCGCTCACAGTAATTACAGTAAACTTGTTAATTATTTGTAATGAAACAATATTACTGTATTAAATAATTAATAATTTATTTTAAATTTGTTTTATTTAGATAAAATGCTTCAATCTAATACAAATGACAAAAAATATCAATTTATGCATGCTTGAATTTAAATATACATATACACAGTACACACAAACAGATATTAAACAATCGTTTGAGAGAATAAAGTTCTACCATCAAATATTTACAGTAATAATTGCAGAAAATAAGCAGTAATTTGCATAACAGTTCTTGCACACTGGGAGAATTCAGGTAAGTTAAAAATTCCAGTTTAATTTTCATCGACATATTACGAGTCTAAGATTTTCACAGAGGGGAATTTAGATATCCTTTTTATTACTCCATAAGCCAGCAAATACCTGTGATTATTTTAGAATAAAATGCTGTGTAAATAACCAGGCAAATTATGCAAGAATAAATCCCTCTGTAATAATCTTCAGAATGCAGATATGAATACAATGGTGAAGTTTATTTGATAGAAATGCTTTTGAAATGGAGATTTATGAGTAAAGAATAATTTTGCCAACCTTTAAAATTTGAACTGTAAATGAAATCATGAGAACAAAATGTGGAAAAAACTAATCTATATAAACAGGAGGAAGAAAATGAACAGTGTTTTTGCCGGAGTCTTGACTGCATTGGTCAATAGGATGCTTCAGATTTTCCCTTCTGGCCGCTGTGTGGCTGCAATATCGATCAAGACTTTCACTGCTCCTCAGATTCCAGTCAGTCGATCTACAGACAAAACTGCTCATCTCTCAGTCCCACTCTCACCCTGAAATGAGCCAATCCAAGTCCGCCGTCAATAAGTAATTGGATCTTTGTTTTTATAAACAGTCTCTTTAGTAAAACACAGCTCATATCCTGACACACCTGTAATCTGAACCCTCAAACGGAAATGCTGAAAGGCCATCGGTGGCACCTGATAGGCATCTTGAACACTTCACAAGCCCAATCTCGCTTCGCTTAACAAATGAACAACAGCTTTTAAGACCGTCACATCATCAGCAGAGGTTTCAAAACATCTGTTTCTGGTTTTATCGCTATGCATTAAAACTAAGCGAATAGGACGTATGAAGGATATAATTGATGGTTTCTTAAGCCCCCACTTGATTATGTCTTAGTAATTACAAGCCTCGCGGACATGTGCGGTTCGTAACACTGTACACTGTATGGTATGAATCATCCAGGAGAATGAAGGTTCCTTCCCTCCTGTCACTTTCTGTTAGTCAGACTGTCTCTTAGTGTCCAAACGGCGGTGTGATCATTTCACAGCCTGGCTGGATTGTGGGAAATGCTTATTTGTTGCACTTATAAACTGATCATTTTTTTTGGGAAGTTAAAGAATTAGTTTTATTATATAAGTATGTAATAAAACATATTATAATTCTATTATGTATACCTATAATAAACAATAAAGTCAAATAAGAAACAAATATTCCAAGCTGCATCTATTGTGTTGACGACATAAAGCCACAAATTATATAATGATAAAATATTAAATTAATAGCTTAAATACTGTTAAAATAGTTTAAGCATGTCACATGTGATTTAATAATAATAATAATGATAATTATTATGATTATTATTATTATTGTGTGTAATGTTATTATTAATAATAATAATAATAATAATAATAATAATAATAATAATGATAATAGTCTATAATAATATTTATAACAATAACAACTAATAACAAAAAAATAATAATAAATATTCTTATTATTAATATTATAACAGTATATTAAATTTACTTAAATTGTTTAACAGAGATATTTTATTAGAAAACCACATGAAAATATTTGCCAACTAACAACCAGAGATTTAATGATATTTGTATTTATTAATAAATAATAATAATAATACAAATAAAAAAAAAAAAATAATAATAATACATATTCTTATTATTGATATTATAACAGTAAATTAAATTTGCTTAAATGGTTTAACAGAGATATTTTTTAGAAAACCTCATGAAAATAACTGCCAGCTAATCACCAGTGATTTAAAAATATTTGTATTTATAATAATAATAATAATAATAATAATAATAATAATAATAATAAATATTCTTATTATTAATATTATTACAAAATTAAATGAAATTTACTTAAATGATTTAAGAGAGATATTTTATTAGATAACCATATGAAAATATTTGCCTGCTAATGACCATAGATTTAATAACACTTGTATTTATTTTTATTAATAATAATAATCCTCATTAATATTATAACAGTAAAACTGGATTTGCTTTATTGGTTGAAACCAGATATTCGAGTTTTAATATAGAGAAACATTCATTTTGAAAAGCTTCTCTTTTGCTGACCACAGATGTTAAAACAATGAACATCTTTCCAAACAATAGGAATTTAGAAATCCCCATCAACGTAATGCAAATTTCATACCTCAGCCACTGTTATACTAATTAATTTAAAATAGATAATGATTAAAAAGTGGCCAACTGGTGAGTAGTAATGTTCAAAAAAACTAGGTACAGCACTCACCCCCTGCTGATCCAACTTCAGCAGTTGCTCTGGGACTTTAGGTGAGCTTATGGCCATTCTGAGACACTGAATGTTGACCTCAGGAACTACATACTCCAGCACCTCTTTAAGAGGGAGCCCACGGGACGTCCCGTGCTTCGCAGTGGAAGGGACTGCATCCTCCAGGATTGAGCCTCTCAAAGTAGTGAGCTGAAGATGGATAAAGTGAAGACAAGTTTAGATTCATGAAAAACAAAGTAAGAGTTCACAATGTTAGCTGAACTGAGCAAATGAATCCATTAAATGAAATACACGGCATGCTTGAATCCTATCACTGAACAGATGGATAAACCATTCTAGTCATCTTTCAAATGGCAAAGCACTCTCTAAGATGGTCCCTGCTTTAGCGCTGAATCCCGCGACATGCCCTGCCAACCTTTTCGATGAATAATTGAGTTCAACTAACTGTGGCGAATGCTGAAGTAACGCTTTGGCTTTTAGCAGGAGGGCCATTGTACGCTCAACCGCCAATTCAGCAAACTATCCAGTCACCCTTAGGAAAACCCCTGGCAAGCCACATTTGAAAGATCTCTTGCCATTTTGAAAGCCGCACTGGTCGGGACTGTTTTAGCATCGGTGGTGAGAATCATGTAGTACAGTAAGGTAATTCATATCACATATACGGAAAAATCAATAGCACACCGCAGATATCATCCATCATGAGCTGATTTTCAAAACAATCAATGCTATTATTGAGGCAGCTTTGATTTGTGTTCAGAGGAGATAACGTAAAAGCATTGGGAAATGCACTTAATGGAAACGCGGAAATCAATTATAAATTAATGAGTAGTCCACTCGTGAAACCACTTATTTATTTTACTGCACTCATGCAAAACAGATTGAGTGAATTCCCTTCCATTCATTTATATCCCTGACCTTAACTGGCTCTGGTCTACAGATGTCTGTTAAATGGTGTGTGTTTTATAGACATTGTCCTACCTCGCCGGTTCTGAAGATGACCCTGTAATTATACTGCGGTCCCTCCTTCCCCTCCTCCAGTTTCTCTCTCCGAATGCTGACAGCCACCGGCCCCAAGTTCTCATCAACACCAAAGTAGTTCTGGTGCTCTTTACAGAAAAGAATACATAATATTATGTATTAATACACTGTATTTTGGTCAAATAAATGTGTATCTTTAATAAAACGTACCTTTATTGAAAAAGAATTTGTGATAGTAGTAAGCGCCCATGTCGATGTGCTCAATGATGTAGCGTTTGATGCAATCCCGTGGTATGGCGTAGTTTTCACGAGAGGCATAATTCTCACGGGACATCTCCAAAACGGAAACCCCCGCATTGGTGCAGTGTGAGCTTAAAGTGGACTCAATAGAGTTATTGTCACCTACGTTGCTGTTGGGTGGTGCGCTGTTTGGTTTGGTGGCATTCAGCTTCCTTTCACCTTCCCCCCCAATTTCGTTCCGGAAGTATGGGCAACTCAACACCAAACCACTACTCTTTCCATCTCCCTCATCGGGATCAGTGCAAGCTTTTTGCCCAAGCTCCTCACAGTTGTCCAAAGGGGACTCGCAAAGAGGCAAGGGGTCAGGACCATCCAATGCCCCACTAATTTGGTGTTGCGATGCTGCAGAAGCCCCTGTGGTAATGTTCTTCCGACGTGCCAAGTTGGCACGATTAGTAACAGCCTCGCTAATGTTGAAAAGCACACTCTGGACATCATAGTGAGAAAAACATCTCTGGAAACTCAATGGACGACCATGTCTACTACAATCGTCCAGTTCGCTAAGTTGCCGCTGCTCACTTTTCATAGTCTTCAGCCTGCGGAAAATTGACGTCTCCCCCTTTTCGGATTTCTGCCGCTGTAGGAAGGACTTCTCCCTTTCTCGGCTGTAGAAAAGCGAACTGTCCACATAGTCTGAGTAGTTGGGAATGCAGAGAATGTCTCCCCGTGCAATCTGCGCAGCAGTCTGGAGACTTGGAGAAACTGTGGTCTCGTATCGACGAAACTCCGGAAAGCCATGCGGAGGTGGTGCGCTCGGTTGCTCTGAGTGTTCCGACTGGAATCCCTTCAGATTCCCAAAAAAAGCTTCATCGGGCAAACCCTGGCGATTGATTGAGGACGTGCTTCCGTATTCTCTATGCAAAGTTGCACCTGTATTAGGGTTGATTGCAGTCTGATCCATGTCCTCTGCCCCGATATCACTGATGGTGACATCACTGTTGCTTCTTTTCTGAAGGGCATGGTGAACTTTACCAGGCGAGTGGTTCAGAAGTTCACCAAGCCCATATTTGGCCTCCAGAAAGCTGGGATTTGGAGGTGAGCCTGGGCTTGGTTTGACCGCATCTTCTGGAGACTGAATGGGTTGTCCATTCTGAAAGGAAGTCATTAGGCTTTCGTATCTAGGTGGTGGGCAAATGCCATCCTTCTTCTGTGGCCATTCCGACACTCTTGCCCGTACACCCATCTTGGGCACAGCTGGTGTCCCTTGTGCATTTGCACCAGGAGGTCCCATATTCCCATTTAAAGCTTGAAGCTTTTTGGCAAATAGATCATCGGTCTGCATTTCTGCGGTGAGGCGCTTCTCAAGCTTCTATGGCCTCGTCTGTATCTCTGGTCCTAAAATGAGTGACATTCATACCTGATATTAAAGATGTTGCCTAGAAGACAAATTACAACTCCAGCATTTTATGGAATAGAGAAGGTGCTTAAAATTGTTGCTAGAAGTCTGTGAAAATGATGACTGACCCACGTTAGGGCGTTCAGACCTGAGGGTCTGTAATCCATAGGAGGAGAATGAGTCTCTTTATCTCCGTTTCACTGTCAAGGACAACTGCTCACTCCACGGGAGGGCAAGCAGGAGATACGGTCATTTCACAGGCATGTAGGCTTAACAAAGCCAGGTGGGATCTCTCTGATGCTCTGGAAGAGAACAAGAAAGAGAGAGAGAGAGAGAGGGAGATCATTAGAGAATCCATTTGGGAGGGAGAGATACCAATGTGACCTTGAAAGAATGCAAAGCACTCAAAATTCTCATCTGAACGAAGCATCAGCAAAAAGGCCAATTAATTTAATAAGGGTTTGCATGTCTATTCAGAAAGCTTATTTCTATTTCACCTGAACGCATGCCATTTCTGGATCGACTATAAAACAAATGTAGCACTTTTTTGACCTTCTAGTACAGACTAATTAGTGATAAGCATCTAAATGAAAAAGCAGTCTATGCACTCTGTTAAATGGCAGAACAGATCCAGACTACTTCCCCTTCAGTTGTAATGATGTTCAAAGTGGTTATTTCAAGAGGTGTTAAAACTTTGAAAAATGATTAAATAATGCAATTTTTGTTCCACTTGCATACTTTGCATTTGAAAAGTACTTGACAGATGGCCATCTTTTCATGCCCTTCTTTTACAAATTGCAAACAAGATGCAAGCTGGTGTTTATTTAATCACAATGAATGGTCTGAAAATGAAAACGAAAGTGACAAATTACTAAAATAAACCACCCTCTTGAACATCAGCACAATTTCATATTTAGGTTTTCCCATTTTATTCAATGATTCTCAAATCTTAAATGTAATCATTAAAAGTCTAATTAACCACAGATATAATAAAATTATATGATATGAGTGATATGAGCCTTTAAAAATGTGGAAAGAAACACTGCAATATTGTTTAATGTTAACATCAAGCTTGTAAAATGTGTCGGTTTCATACAGAAATTAATTAAATACTTTTTTTTTTTAGCTTTGACTTCAAGTTTATAATAATACCAACACATTTTAATATTGAATCAAGAACATTTAAGAGCTTAGAATTGTCCCTTAGTATAGGTATTATTTTGGGTCACCACCTGATATCCAAATTAACATCTGGGTCTTGTAGAGCCAAAAAAAAAAAAACTATTAGGATTTACTGGCTTTGAGCAACAAACCCACTGAGACTTCCTTTCACAGAAAGAGCTTTCAAATATAATTTCATTCCAAAATAAAGCATTATTAAGAGGGTAAAGGAGTATAAAATCACAATACTGACAGACGCCGCTATGGGTACACGCTGTGAAATTTACCAACCTAAAAATAATCCTTCAAAAAGCAAGCTGATTAAACTGGCATTTATTAATATTGTGTTTTGGACGCGCAGTCCTCTCTGTCTGTTACATACTGACCCCAATATCTTTAACCCTCCCTCTGAAATAAACACATCTTTGTGTCAGTGTCAACACCAGCTGTGCATATACCATGTTTAAGTAATGTCGTTTCATAAACTGCAATAACCATCCAGAGTCCGGAAATGCACTTGATTTAAAGCCGTTATATAATATCAACAAAAGTGACCTTACTTGCATACATATGTCCAATCCATGGGTCCATGTTATTTTTAATAAAACAATTGTTTGTTTTTGTAATCAAAACATAACAACCAATTCTTCCACTAAAATGACTTTCTTTTTCAGCAGACGTCTAGATAGAGCAAAGGGGGAGATCCCTGTTAAATATTCATCAAAAGACATGGCGCTGACATTTGAACAAAGCGACACATGTTCATCCCCAGAAGAGACACAGAGGTATTGTTGCTTTTAGAACATAAGCGTAATCAAAAATTGAAAGCGCAGAAGTTCCATGAACAAAGCAATAAATAAATAAATAAATAAATCCTGGCAGCACTTAACATTGGGTTAAGCTGAACATGGGAAAAACAGGGACAGTCTGTCAGGCAAAACTTAGAATTGGACCTCAGATATAAAAAAAAAAAAAATAACAATAACAATGTGCACAAATGACAAGTCATTTCATTATTAACGAACACTGTTAAATAATAAAAGGAGGAAAAAACAACATGCAAGGAGGCTCTCTTTCACAAACAACACAAAGCCTTGAGGTACTGGCAAATGATAGGGTGAAAATGCTTAGAATGGTTTAGTTTCATATTTCACCCAAACTAAAGATAATAAAGAAACATTACATATTACATTTAGCACATATTTTAAATGCTCAATGACTAGGGCTGTGGGATAGTGGGAAACTGTGTGACATATGATGTTGTTGAGTCTTGCAACAAAGATATTTCTTGCAAAACCCAGTATAACACTTACCAAAAGAAATACTATTTTTATTGCCTATATACTGTATATTTTGATCATATATGATCATATATAAAATCAGATTCAATTTAATTCAGCCAATAACAAAATAAAACTGTCAACATTCTGATTGGCTGTTGTCATTAATTTTCCTCTCTTGTCTCCATTCCTGCCATTTTCTGCTCCAGGTTCACCTTAGGGCTGATCTTTTTGTGGCCAAGAGAGCTTAACGCGCTGCAATTTAAGAAAGCACACCCAATTACAAAAAACACCAGCAAATAAAGAAACGATGTTCATCAATTTGACAACACACGTGACGTGTTGCAAATTCTCACAACGCAAACAAATTAAGAAATGCAAGAGGACACAAGGGGACCCCAAACTGTGACGGAATCTGCTGAGATATGGACGTGTTATTATGCCGTGACTGTTGCTCAGTGAAGTGATTGGTGGTCCTTTTAGGGGAGTTGTTTTCCGTTTATTTTAATATCCTGACTACATGACATAACACATCCATATCACAGCAGGGTCCGTCATGGTTTGGGTCCTTTTTCCTTTGTGTTATGTGGATATTTTCAAGTGTTGTGACTAATTGCAACGCATTTTTTCAGTTGTTTGTGTTGTGACCAATTTGCTGCGCGTTTCTTAAGTTGTTTGTGTTGTGAGAATTCGGAACACGTGTGCTGTCAAATTGATGAAGATAGTTTCTTTATTTGCTGGTGTTTTTTGTAATTGCATGTGCTTTCTTAAATTGCAGCGCGTTAAGCTCTCTTGGCCACTGTATGATCTAGCCAATAGCAGAATAGCACCTACTGGGGAGGTGGATATAAAGAATGTAAAGCCCCATCTCATTGGTCGAATTCGAATAAACAACCTAAGTATGCAGCACAAAAATGCTCAGCACATAAAATAAATGTAATTTATCACACCTCTATGTAGGGCTGTGTGATTAATTTAAACTGAATTGCAATCACAATTTAAAGCAATACGATTAGCCAATCGCAAGAGGCTGCAATATGAAATATATATGTATTATTTAATTACCCCTGCCCAGAGCAAATGCTTGACTGTATGTCTGTATGTGATAGTCTTACTTTCCAGCCGGATGAGCTTTATGCGTTGAGAGGTGCCTTTTTTTAATTTTATACTAGCGGACGCAAGTGTTTTGAGCGTTGCTTATGCGCCTGCACGTCTCGTGTTTTAACAGCCCGCTGCGCCTCGCATTTTTGCCCTTGCACATCCTTCGCTCGCAGTTGAAAAAATGTCAAATGAGCCGAAAAGGCACGTTACGTCACTCGCATCTGTTTCAATATCCAATCAAATGTTGGTTTCCGTTGAGGTGCCTGCAGTGTTTGTGTTGTCCAGACAACAACGGAGACTTTTGAAGATGGAGGAGAGACAGACTTGTGGTTGCAGTTTTGAGTTATTCTGAGCTGTATAACTTCACAAATCTTGAATTTCACAATATTATTAAATATATATTAATATAATATCAAAAGCAACACTCTCGCTCAAAACTCAGCTGATTCAGTTGTTGCCTAGCGACACAAAAAAGTTCACTGTGCTTCTTTTTTCTTGTCAACAAAAAAGGCAGTGTTGTGCACCTTGCGTTTTTGGAACGTAAAGGCATGTTCGGTGTGATCGGCCCCTAAGTGAGCAAACTTTGGTTCTTCCGAATTGGAATCGCGCAACCGACCTATGCGGAACACCCACAGTAAAAAAAAATTTAAAATAAAAAAAAAACATACAAACAGGAAAGCATGGATGAGTGGGATGACATTTGCCACTTCAAAAGCATTACTAGACGAATTAATATCAAAGAAAAACAGGACATCGGTAACATGGGAATATTTTGGTTTCAAAGTCAGGCATCGAAAAAAAACAGGTACCTTGTAAGAGCTGTCGCAGAATTTGTGCCACAGCATGAGGAAATAAAACATCCAGCGGCTTTATGGGGAGGTTTTTGCAAAAAAAAAAATCAACTGAAAGTATTGCCAGTGACAATCTAGTAGCAAGTAAAATTTCAGAGTTGTTTCAGCCATGTTAGTTTGCTGAGTGTATTTTTATAATTATTCATTTTTGTTTTTATAATAAGCAACACTTTCTCCCTAATTAGGCATGGGACGATAACCATTTTCAAGGTATACCGCAGTTTCAAAAATCTGCTATCTGTACGATTTTTTATTAACTTTTTTTTGTTTGTTTTTTTAGGACAACAGTATCTCAAGCAGAAAAAAAAAAAAAAAAAAAAAAAATATATATATATATATATATATATATATATATATATATATATATATATATTTATATATATATATATATATATATATATATATATATATAAAATTAAAGATATCGTTTTAAATTGTAAAAAAAAAAATCTATTTTTAAAATAAATGAGGACAGCAGAAGTCTGAGGTTTATTTGAATGATTTGACATGTTTACTGTTCGGGATTTAAATTTTTTCTCAAAATAAAATATATAGTGTTTAACGGGGAAAAAAATTGTAGTTTTTTATTCAGACATTTAAAAAGAATATATTTAAGAGTAGTGATCACAAAACGCTAATATTTTTATTCAAGGTTTTCATACAGTCAGAACCTCATACCAGCCAATGCCTATCCCTAATCTAAGCTCAACTTGTTTACATAAAGGTAAGGTCATTTTATTTTTGTTTACTGTGTGTTGTAGAGAAAAATGAGTTTTTCATTTCTGAATATTTTAAAAAATAAATTTAAATAAATGTTTAATTAAGTTTATATGTTTTCAGTTGAACTAGTTAAACAATTTTTAACAAAATATTAACTACAAAATTAAATTGCAAATCAAATCACATATT